CCCTTAAGAGACGGCAAGAGGAAGGTCCACAAGTTTCCTGGCTGCCTAAGGCCCAGTGGCCATCTTTTCCACCTCAGCTACTCAGCCCCAGGCGCCGCAGCCACCGCCATCTTCAAGTCTCTCCNCAGCCCGGCTCCCCGCCCACCCTCTGCCCCGGCGGTGGGTGACCCGGCGGAGAATGCCCAGCCCTCCCAGACGTGCCCGGTACTCAGGGCTGTAGTGGTCTGTCGCTGGAGAAGCTGCGCAGAGCGGGCAGCTCTGGTCTGGGCCGCTTCAAAGCTCGCCCAGCTGACGCTTTCAGGACTCCCCCAGGGTGGCCTGTCCACCTGCTGCTGGGACAGCCGGTCCAAGAACCTGTTACCTCTGTGCTGGCCAGAGAGTCCTTGTTCACAAAAGCCTGGACAAACTCCTCAGGTCCGATGTGTCGCAACCGCTCCTACAAGGGAAGGGAGAAGAGCTGGAAAAAGAGGAAAGGTATGAGGAGGGTTGTGCCTGCCGGGCCTGCACGTGCTCCTGCCAGGCTCCCTGGCCTCCCGGTCGGTCCCAGGAGGGTCTCTCTGCAGCTGCCCTTCACACGAGGGCTTGGAGATGGACATCGTTCTGGGTTGTCAGAGAGCTCAGCAGCCCTGAAGGAGGCAGCCCCTCCTTTCCTAGTTCGTGGGGGGCAGGGAGCAACGCTTGTGGGGTGTGATACCCAGGGAAACCAGGCTCAAAATCCAGTAAATGAAATGGCCTGCTCCCTCCGGGGGAGGCCTGGTGGCCAAGAGCATGGGACTTGGGTCAGAATTGAACCCTGGCTCTGTCCTTTCTTCTGTGTGACTTCTGGTGAGTCACTTAACCTTGCTGGGCCTTAGTTTCCTCAACTGTGAAAAAGGAATAATAATAGCATCTACCTGGGAGGGTGATGGGAAATAAGGTAGTGCATGTAAGTGTTGAGGGCGCCATAAATGGGGGAGGTTTAAAAGGGAAGAAACCCACTCCCCAGCTCCCCTCACTCCGGGTTGGGCTCCTTGGCCTCTGCACCCACGGGCAGCCCAGCATGCTTGGGCCTAGGCTGGGGCATCCCCTTCACAAGCAGGAAGGGCTTGTGGGGCTGATCTGGAAAGTTGGGGAGACTGCAGTGTATTTGTGTGAGGCGTGGATGGGGAAACTGAGGCTTGGGTGGGGAAGGAATGAAGGAACTAGTCCCAGGAGGATCACCATAGTAGGTGGTGTCAGAATCGGGATTTGAACCCAGTTCCTCCGTTCCAGGTCTAGACCTTCTGTTTCTTGCCCCAGGAGAGCTGGGAGATATCTCCAGGGTCCAGGGCCCTCAGGAGATGCCAGCTGGCCCTGCTGTGATGGGCCCAGGCCCTGGGTTCTGCTGAGATGAGGTGGGGGTTGGAGGGCTGCTCACCAGCTCCACATGGGTCAGCTGCTGGGCCAGCGTGAAGGGGTCGCTGCAGACGCCAAGGAGTGCCCTGTGGATGGAGGCTGGCGGCTTGGTCCTGTAGGAGATGGGCTTATCCGCACCCACCAGGCCTTCTGGCCCCTGGCCCAGAGCTGCCAGCTTCTGGTGCAGAGTCTGCAGGAGCTGATGCATCCTCTTCCGGTACGCCTGGTGGGTGGGTGGGGGGAGGGTGGAAAGAGGGGTGCTCAGGCTGGAACACCTGTCTCCGAACTGCTAACATCAGAGGCGGGCAGGTTCCTGGGCTCCGAAGGGAGGAACTGTCCCTTGAAGCCTATGGAGAAAAGGCCAGGCACCAGCCCCCACCCTGAAATAGGACCCCATCGCAGACAGGTTGGGGTTGGGGCCAAGTCAAGGTTAGATGGGGAGAAGGCTGTAGGGTTCTAGGTGGGAGCTGAGAGGAGCACACATCAGGAGGGTGACTGGGGCCCAACGTGTCCCAGCTGTCTGGGCACTGGGGCTAAGAGAGGTGGGTGCTGTAGGGAGCTGGAGGAAGGGAGACAGGAAGGAGATGTGGAACAGCCCCTGCCCTGGACTGGCCTTTTGTTTGACTTTAATGGGGGCCTCTCCTACCTCCCAGGACCAGCTTGGAGAGGCCTTCCCTGACCAGCCTCACTGTCCCACCCTCTGCCCCAGCAGTACTCATCAGGTTGCCCTATGTGACTTCTTTTATAGGACCTCTGTTGGAAACGACAGAGTCTGATTATCCCCCCACTGGAATGACAGCTCCACAGGGGCAGCGGAGTCTATGTTGCCACCTGTGTGTTATCAGAGCCCAGCCCAGCTCAGACACGTAGTGGGTACTCAGTAAACACTCCACCGATGGACTCCCCCACCATTCTGCTCAGATGGACAGATTCCTGCTTTGGGCCATGCCTGGGCTGGGCGCAGGGATGGTCATGGTCCCTCCTTGACCCCCAAGGAGAAACTGATTATTTCCCCCTCTGAGACCCCTATTGCCAAGGAAGGTGCCATCAGCCCAGCTGGGTTTATTAAGTGAGAATCCACATGTCCCCAAGGGTTTTGGTCAGTAACGCACAGAACAGGACCCTGAACTCATCAGCCCATGGCAAATGTTGCCCCCAGAGATGGATTCAACCCCTACAAGCCAAGGATCTGGCCTGGGTGCTGGCAGAGGCAGCAGTGGGCAGCTGGGGGCCTGGTCTCCTGCGATGATGTGACATCAACCAGACAGACCGTGCCCAGAGGCCTTGGAAAATAACTGGTGGTGAATAGTCGGTATTGTCAGGTAATTTAAGGTAGTAAAAGTGAATGTTTCTTCCTGCTATTCCGAAACACACAAACCCAGCTGCGTTTTGCAGGTGTGGGTGTTTGGCTTGCTGAGCTGTGAGCTGCCTAGGACCTGACAGTTCCTCAGAGTCTCTGGCTGGGTTCAAGGGGTGTAGTTGACGTCTGAGGACTGTTGGTGCCCAGCGCCCTGGTGATGGAGATGGCACCCGCCCAGGCCCCTTATGGACGTGCTTCTCTGTGAAGCGGCCATGGGCAGTTGTGGCAGATCCCTCAGGACACAGGGAACAGGACAGGAAGCTCTTAACCCTAACCCTGTCCTAACCCTAACCCTAACTCCCAGAGCTGTGGGGTCGGACCAAGAAGGCGCCCACTTCTCGACTACCCTATCTGGCCACCATGCTCATCAGCCATGAGACCAACTCTCACTGCCACCCTGGAACCTTCTGTCACTAAAGCCACCAGCTGTTTCTCAGGTGGCATCTTCCTTGGCCACCTCCACTCAGCCTTCTGGTTCCTCCTGCCTTGGGCTGTTTGCAGGCTTGTCTTCGCCATCATTAGATGCTGGGGATCTTCCTGTCTCAGTCTAGACCTCTCTTCTCCTCACTTTGTACTTTGTTCCTGGGATTCTGGTTCACATCCACAGTGTCATTTAATGTGCATATATGGACAGTGCCCACATTTACATGTGCAGCCTCCTGTCTGGTCTCCAGAGCCCACCTAGACTCAACATTGCAAACAGAAGTCACGCTCTCCTTGGCCCGAGCCAGCATCTCCGGTTTCAGTGAGCAGCGCACCAGCCTCAGGCAATAGGCTTGGAGCCATCCTCGACCTTGATTTTACTTTCTCCCACTTCCATGTGTCTCCATCATTGTCTCTGGGGTCCAGGCCACTGTCATCTCTCTGTGGCTGCAGCAGCCTCCTCAATGGTCCCCTTGCAACCATGATGGTTTCTCTCTACTCCACTCTGCAGCCAGAGTGGTCTGTTCAAAATGCAAATCTGACTGCTGTCTCCCTCTTCCTTAAAATGCCTTGGCCCTGATGTCAGCTCTGACCATGCTCAATGGCCTCAATGTGTCCTTTGCGCCTCCTCTGTGCTCTGTACACAGGCCACTCCTCTGCCCCTTTGTTCCCTTCCCCACACTCTCCGCTATGTCCCCGGCAGGGCCTGGGTATCCTTCTCCCTTTTAGCATGTGCTCCTCCTTCAGACCAAAGCTCAAGGGCCATTTCCCCAGAGGGCCATCGAGGCTCAGAGCACCATGCCCTTCCATAGCAGCACTTGCCCAGGTCATGATTTTAGAGCTATTTGGAAGATTATTCTGTTCACATGCTTCTGCTCTCCCTAGAATACGAGCTCCACACAGACAATAGCAGGTCCCTCTTCACTCATCCCCAGCATGAAGGGCAGGGCCTGGCTCACAGGGTGTCCATGCACATCTGTTGAATACTCTGATGAACATGGCCTTCACCTGCTGATAGTCAGACATTCTCTCCACAGGGTGTCAGGGTAGACTGTGGAGCCTTAGTGAAATCAAGGATGCAGGGCGTCTAGGCCTATCATTTGATAGAAACAACCATGTGATTGCCCTAGGTCCTATTTTTAAAAAATGCAGTAGGACTTGTTTCTATTGAAACAGAATTCACCCCAAATAATTATCACTTCCTGTTTGCTAACTCATTTAGAATTTTTTTCAGTGATGTTAAGTTCAAGATTATCTGAGAGTTCTTTCCTGCATCTTCCACCCCCCTCTGAATGTGGGGATGATATTTGTCCTCCTCTTTGACCTGTTGTCATTTTCTCACTGATTTCTACACACTTGTGGATAGAGGCTCGGTAATCTCCTTGGGAATTCTGGGCAGGCCTAGAGACCTAAACCACTGAGGACGTCAAGGTGTTCCCTTGAGGAGCCCCAGGATATGCCCAGGATGACACAGCTCCTTGCCATTCCTAACTGGGGCCAAAGCCCTCTCTATCCTCTGACCGTAGCTGGGAGGATGCCTGGGAGGATAAGAGGTCTCTCTTTTTCCAGTCTATTTCCACTGAGCCATCTGCTGCATGCACAGAGCCGGGTGTGACTGCGGGAGCTGTCTGAGGGTGGCCTGAGTGGTGGCCATGGCTCTCCAGGTGCCTCCAAGTTCTTTTGCACTGGGCATTTTGAGGCCAGAACCCCCTATCCCTGGCTGGACAAGCATTGGCTCCTGTTCTCTGAAGTTCTTAAAAACTCCCTCTTGAGGCAACCCAGGACCAACACTCTCTTAGGCTCAGAACACCCTGCATGGGCAGGAGCTCGTGAGGTTCCTTGGGCTCTTCAGCTTCCACCAGTTTGTTCTCTGTGTCTGTTGGGAGGCTGCCTTGGAGGGCAGCGTGGGCAGTCCAGTGGACAGTCCATGTGAGCAATGGGAAAGCAAGATCAGCCACAGGAGGGGCTGCCTGTCTGAACCTTCCCTGGGCTCCCCCAGCCTCCCAGAGCCCTGGCACTGGCCTCCTGAGCTGCAACTACTGAGCCCAGCCTACCGGGAGCCCCACAGAGACAAGGCTGGCCATGACACACCCCTGGGTCCCTTGCCCAGCACAGGGTGGCCCAAAGCAGGCATCTTAATGCAGTGGCCAGATGCTGGGAAGGCTTCCATGGGAATCCCCAGAACCCACAGTCATGGAGAATGGTCTCCTTGGCTCCTCTCCAGCATTTTGTTCCCAGCTGCTGAGAGGAGGTGGGAAGCAGAGCAAGGATATGGCCGAGGGGCAGGGGGAAAGAGGAAGGTTTCACCTTTCAATGCCACTCTGAGAAGTGGCCCAAGCAAAGGGGCCAGAAAGGAGCCCCACTCAGCCCTGGACCTGTGCTGTCTCCTTGTTCTCCTCACAGCCCCGTGAAGGAGAATCATCACCCTCCCTTTTGTAGAAAGACATTTAAGACTCAGAGAGGTTAAGTAACTTGCCCAAAGACAGAGCTCTAGAAACACCCATGCTGGACACTATATCATTTGATTCCATCCCTGTGTTAGAAATCTTCTAAAAAAATAATGCTGAGATATTTTTGGAGCAAAAGATAAAATACCTGTAATTTGCTTACAGATAATTTATGTGGATGGGGAAGTGTTTGGGGATAGAGGAACCAAGTTTGGCAAAATGATAATTGTTGAAGCTAGGTGATGGGTACAAAGGAGCTCATGGTTACTATTCACCATGTTTGTGTATTTTTGAAAAATTTCATAATGAAAGTTCCATGAAAGTTAAAAAGTAATCCCCATATGCCTGAATTCTGGGAACAAATTGTTTCTAATCACAGCTCACACTTACCAAGTGCTGAAATAAGAGCACATGTAACTTAGGGACTCCTTACTGCAAAGCTCTGCAGTGGGAACAGTTATCCCTGTTTTACTGATGAGGAAACTGAAGCTCAGAAAGGCAAAGCACTTTGCCCAGGGCCACACAGCTGTGGCTTCTGAGCCTGGATCTGGGCTCAGGCAGGATGACAGACCCCACGCTCTGAGCCCTACGGGCCCTGCCTCATCAAACTGGCTCAATGCTCTTTCCTGCTGAGCCCAGACTATGGTGGGGGCGAGCACCCAGCAGCCCACCTGCCGGCATCCAGGGGAGAGAACCTGTGCCCAGAGGACATCCTCTTTGGAGTGGGTGCTTTCTGTGGAAGGGCAACTTGGGGATACTGAATAAAGACATGGGGGAGTACCCTGGCCTGGGCCTGGGGGAGGTAGGGTAGGGGACAGGGAACTCCTGTTCCAGTCGACATCGCACAGCCCTGGTGAGAGGCTTGACAGGTTCTCAAGGTCAGTGAGGAGGCCCTGACTTCCCGAGGGAAACCAGCTCAAGAATTACACCGTCTCCTACCACTCTGGACATGGCTCTACCAATGTCAGGCAGGTCGCATAAGGGTGAATAATCCTGCCTTGTCCTATGACTTAGACTTCACTGCTGCTGCAGACCTCTGGGGTCGGGGGAAAGATGAAGCAGGAGACTGGGCTCTCATCCCCCCGCACACCCTCTACTGCATCCACCCATCTACCGTCCCTGTACCCATCTCTTCTCTGCCCCTGTGCTATCACCCACCTCCCCTTGTATAGTTATCCACTGACGGACCCATCATTTTACTCATCCATCCTCCTTTGCTTTCTAACGTGCGGCCACTCACCCGTCCACCCACTCTTCCTACCTTCCTGCCTCTGTTCTTTCCATCAGTCTTTCCACATCCACTCACCACATAAATCCAGCTGTCTATCCAATTACCCAAACACCTATCCTTCCCCACACCCACTCCTAAAAGCAGCCAGTCAGCCAGCACCCCCTTCCCCGCTTCCACCCGCTTCTCCTCTATCCAGTCATCAAGCTTTCCCTGACTCTGTTCTGTGTGACATCCTAGGCCAAGTATCATGATCCTGAGACGGATCAGGGGATGCAGAGGAGGAGAAGGAAGAGGAGACAACCCTCATCGCACTGAGCTCTCAGAACAGCTCAGTCACTTGCCTGCTATTTGAAGTGACCCCAGGGCAGTGCCTCCCTCTCTGAACCCTAGTTATGCTGTGGGTGTTATGGTTCCTGTTGCTCAGCCTGCCTTAGCAGTTTCCCTGTGTTTTACATGCCCCTGGTTCTGCCATGTCCAGACCCACTTTGAGGCACATCACTAGCTATCAGCTTGCCATGTTCAGTGTCCTCCCAGGGCACCTGACATAAACCTCTTCCCCCCCTCCCCCAACAATGTTCTTTCCTTGCAGATAAAGCAACACCAGTGCTGCTCCCTGAATCATTCTGGGGATGCTGATAAACCTGCCCCTTCTAAATACACCAGGAGACATTTGTCCCCTGTGCAGGACTCTTTCTTATGCTCTCACTATAATCCTGGGAGGTGGAAATCTTTGCTGTCCCTTCTGCCCATAAGGGAAGTGAGGCTTGGAGAACTTTAAGTGCCTCTCCCCAGAGTAACACAGCTGGGAGAGCAGAGCAGGATGTGGGATGCAGAGGCACTGCTGCCCAGTACACCTGCTGCCTTCCAACCTACTAGTTTCCAAGTGCAGGGGTTGCATTTTCCTGTGGTGTGGTTTTAGCTGCAGGGGTCCTCCGCCCTGCAGGGTTTACAGCTTATCCCTGGAAGCTGAGAGGATCCCAGGAGAATCTGCCGGGACAGTGTGTAGTCATTAGTCCCCCCTAGTTGTTCTTCAGTTCATCTTGCAGAGCCCTTTTCTTGCCCCTGACTTGAAGTTTCTTGCCCAGGAACACTGACCACCAGCCCAGCCCTGGATGTGGCAGGGGCAGGAGGAGGGAGGCCTCTGTGGCACGAAGCCCAGGACGTGGGCCCTGCCAGGCTGGCCTAGTGGGTCACAGACCAATGGCCTGACCATGTGACCACAGGAGCCATGAGTGGGTCTTCCCTTGGCAGGGGCAGGAGGAGGGAGGCCTCTGTGGCACGAAGCCCAGGACGTGGGCCCTGCCAGGCCGGCCTAGTGGGTCACAGACCAATGGCCTGACCATGTGACCACAGGAGCCATGAGTGGGTCTTCCCTTGCTGCCATCTGATGCGTTGATAAGAGCAGGACAGGACAGAAGTCAAAAGACCAGGCCTGGATTCCCTTCCAGCTCTGCAGTGCCTGGCTCCTGCATGGGTCAGAAAGGGGCTGATTTTGGAGGGGCTGCAGTGTGCAATGGGGGGAGATGGTGGCCCTGAGGAGGGGCCCGGGAACAGGCTCGAGTCCCTGATGTTAGGGGCAGAGAGGGTGAAGCGTCTCCCGCTCCGGCGTGCTCACCTCGTCACAGGGGGCGATGCGGCCCACCACGTCCTTCAGGTGCCCGATGGTTGACTCCTCCTGGAAGTCCCGCGGGAAGGTCTCTGTCCACTCGGCCAACAACTGGAGCAGTTTGGGGCCAAACTTCCGGACCCGGGCCTGTAAGGCATGCCGAGTGCTGGGGCCACGCTCGGGAAGGGGCGCTCGGGAGGCGGAGCCACATCAGCCCCGGGGGGTGGCGACGGCCGGGCGGGGACAGGGCCTCGCGCCCTCCCTGTGCCGCGACAGGGGTGCGCCACGGGGATGGGGGAGGTCCTGCTCCCAGCCGAGCAGAGGGGGGACAGACACACATTTTGGGGCGGGGCCGTTCCTCGTGTCCGCCGCCGGCACCTCTTCTCCCTTTCTGTGGTGACATCTCAGTTTTCCTTTGGGGACTTGCTCTCCCTCCCTCCCAACGGGGGTGGGGGTGGGGTCAGCAGCAGGAGGCCCCGCCCTAGGGGTGGACCCAGACTAGTGCTGGCCAATCAGAGCACGCGTACTCCATAGTGTTCGGTGACTGGCTCATAGTGGGCATGTGACGTCAGCTGGGCCAATGAGGTTGGGACTTTGACTGGGCCCGTGAGGAAAGGGGCTTGCTCTTTGCACGCGACTGGAAAGGGTAGGCGAGCCTGGGGCGGTGGAGGCCGCCTGTCGCCCTGTAGGAGAACCGGCAAGAGCCGGGGGAGGCCGGCCCAGGGCAAACGGCAGCAGAAGGCCGGAGGGAGAAAGACCAAGTTTTAATGCTGTCATTTGAGCCCCTGGAGCCAGCGGTACCTGAAACATAGCAGTTACATGTTAAGGTTAAGCCTCTTGGCTTGAGGCCAGCCGAAGCTGGGTTTCTGTCACTGTAACGGAAGAGCCCAACACACGTATAATTAGGCAGTCACAGCCTACAGGATCCAGCCAGGAGCAGAGGAAGGACGTGAGGAACTGTGGGAAGGCTGGAAGATCAGCGGACCCCACGCAGAACACAGGGTAGAACAGAGAGCTCCAGGGGAAGGAAGGCCAGAAGGGGCCGCAGGGCCACCCCAGGCCACAGATGGCAGGACCCTACTGGGCAGCCTCTTTGGGGACCCAGGTCTGGGCTTAATGTGAGCTCAAGGGCTCCCATGGGGCATTGGAAAACTGCATGGGGGTTAAAGGTTCTGGCTCTGTCCCTTCTAGCTCTGGGCCTCAGACAAGTCAGAACCCCTCTGTGGGCTCCTTGTCAGGAAAACGGGGACAATCATTCCTTCCCAGAGAGAGAGTCTGATTCCATAGGGCATGTCAGGGGAGTACTGGTACACTCAGAGCCCCCCTGGCCTGCCCTCTCCTTCACCTTGTCCAGCACCGGTTTGTCCAGCTGCTGCTGCTTGATACACAGGTGGCAGACCCGGGCCAGCAGCTCCCGGGGCTCGATGAAGAGGCGAGAGCTCAGCAGGAAGGTGAAGATGTAGGCTTTCTGGCGGGACGTGAGAAAGACGACACAAGCTCAGGAGGGCATGGGGGTGGCATGCCTCCTAGCCTGCCCTGCCACCCCCCATGCCTAAGGCCACCCCCAGCCCTGTTGTCTCCCCTACCCCTGGTAGAGGAGAGCCCACTCTGCTGCCCACCCACCCCGTTAGGTGGGTCACCCACCTCAGGGTAGTAGTCAGCTGTGGGCACCAGGTGTTGGATCAGGGTGTCCAGGGAGGCTGAGGATGGAGCTCCGTCCAGAAGGGGCTGCCTGGCCTGCTCGCCATCTGTGGCCTCTGTTGGGGGTGGGCTGAGGTTGCCTGGGGTGACCATGTCGGAGGCACTTAGCGTCTGGGGCATGCCTGCCTACAATGGCAAGGAGCAGTTGGGGCACACCTGAGCTGGGACCTCCTGGTCCCCTGGGCTCCTAGCTGGGCAGGCTCTGCTTCCCATAGTCACCACTGTGCTCATTTGTGTCCAGTGATCACTTCCTGGGAGGGCTGCCAGGGACTCCCTACCTCACAGTACAGCAGCCATTCTCCTTCCTCTTATAGCCCCTCAACAGTCCCCCGGGAACCATCTCTTCTCTACTCTCAGTTCCCCATTTAGGGATAGACCCCTTCTAGAGTCTGTCCCCCCCACTTCATGAAGGTTGTTTTGGATAAGACCTGGATAATCAGGATACTCCCCCCTGCCGCTGGCCACAAAGATTTGTTCCAGGATGGGCTTGATCTTTATTGGGGGGATCAGGCGCAATCCCAGGAAGTGGCACTTGGAAGCACTCTTTCCCCTGGGGTCCCTGAGATGGTGGAATGTAAGCCTGACACTGTTGGGGCCATCTTGTTACCATGAGAGGCCAGGAAAGTGGGTCACTGAGGACAGTGTTGGAAGCCCTAGATCCTGCTGTGCCTGAAGCCATCTGTGGACTTCTTCATTACATGCACCTGCTCAAGTTGGGGTTCTCTCAGGTGCCATCAAAATGGCTGCCCTCTGCAGTCTGGCATTCCACGCTCTTTGCGATTTGGACTGACTGGCCTGTCCATCCTCACCTCCTACCACTCATGATACACTCTTGGCGCCATCCACGCATTCTCCTCCAAACACCTCCAATTGTGAGCCACTGCACAGGTTGTTCCCTCCTGCAGGAGGCTCCTCCACCATCTCCACTCCTCCATCCCTCTCGACATGGCTGGAATGCCTCCTCCTTCAGGAAGCCGTCCCTGATTCCCCGAAGTGTCCCCCCAAGGCACATTTGACCTCTGGTGGGCATTGGTGGGCATCAGTGGACTCTTCTTGTCAGCTTTGGTGGGTGCCTGGGGCACTGCTGTTGGTACCTGGTGCAGAGAAAGGCCAGCTACGGCTGTCCCAGTGTTTTCTCCACCCAGCCTCCTCCAGGCAGAGGCCAGAGTGTCCTCTGTAACCCGGCACTGAGCCAAGGGCCTGACCAGCAGCAGGCGTCCAAACACGTGTGTGCAGGGCACCTACCCTTACTCTCCACAGCTCTTCCACTTATCCCTGCAGGCCCATCTTTCTTGAAAGGGCAGGGCCCTCACAGCGAGGTGTCTTGATCAAGCCTCTGACTGTTTCACCTGCCCCCATGCTAGGTATTCAAGTTGCCGCCATGTTCTCAACCATGAAGTCCTGTGGGCTCACCACAGGGACCTTCCAGGGACTCAATCTCCCCTGCTCACCCTGTCCCTCTTGCCCCCATGGAAGACCCTGACCCTGACCCTAGTCTTTTCCAGCCCCCTGATGACCCTGCTCTGAGGGTAGAAACAGAAGGCCTACGGGAGTCAGAGCTGACATCGGAGGTCAGAGGGAGTACCCCAGAGGGCTATCCCGTGGGTGTGTGGGTGTGGGAGGTGCTGGGACCGAGTTACAGAGTGGGGAGGGCTCGGGTTGACAGCAGCCTGGACAGTCCTGGCCCTGGTGACAGACACAGCTTTATTTTCACCTCCCTGGCAAAGCTGTAAGTGTTCACTTTTCAGCTGATGAAACTGTCAAATTTCACATCACCACCTCCTTCCATCCCAGTGGGGAGGCTGCTACACATACTCAGAGGGGAGGGGCGGCCAGCTCTGTGGTGGGCAAGGGCTCTACCACATGCCCAGGACCCAGCACCTGAGCCGAATTCCTCAAGACAGAAAACTTGTGAGCCCAGCAAAGTCCACTCTCTCCCACTGGACACCTGGCACCTGTTCTGCCTGCAGTGCTGGGCTTGTCCCAGATCCCAGTCCAGTCTTCTCCAAGACGAGCCAGTAGCAGAGGTGGAGGTGATTCTGGGAACCTCTCTGTAGGGCAGAGGGTCTCCACATGGTGGGAGGAGTCATAGAGGAGCCTTTCTGAGGGAGGCGAGGATGCTGAGCTGGGAAGTTCCCAGAGCACCTCGGGACATAGCCTGGAACTGGGTGCTGGGTGTGGGGTGCTGGGCACATGGGGTGGGGTGGAGGGTGGTACTCAGTACTCAGATCCAGCTCTACTCTGGAGCAACTAGCTCACACCGGGGGCTGGGGCAGGGGCATTTGCAGAACCATCATGACCCACAGAGATGCCCAGGGACAGGCTGCTGGTGGCCCTCCAACCTCCAGCTACCCATCATGTCACCAGCTGGGCTCAGGCCTGGATCTCAATGGATGGGTCTGTCCTTGTGCTGCAGTCTCCTTTTCTTCTGCTTTTGTCAAGGGCTGTTCATTTATTCATGCATGCATGCATGGAGCAACTCCTGGCACCAGCTTAGGCACTGGGGACAAAGCACACCCTCACAGAGCTGGTGAAGGATGGCAGACAAGGCACGGGCAAAGCCATGCATAGACACTGTCCCACTGAGGTACACGCTCTGGAGAATGTGCCCAGGTGAGGGGAAAGGGAGTGACAACTCTGTGGTTGGATGTTCCTGGGAGAGCCCCCCACAAGAGAGGGTGAGGTCAGAGCTGCCGCTACCATGGTGGTGCCCCCACCGTTCCACGGGCCACTCTTCACAGGCTGCTGGTGCAGACATGGCAGTGGGTGCCGACCCCTGGCCTCTGTGTGAGGACAGCCGGG